GCTTGTGCAACAGGCGGCGAAACCACTGAGCTAAATCCCCGGCCCTGTTAAGTATATTTTCTAAAGATTTTGTCACATGAATAAAAGGCTTTCTTTCATTGTGAAAATAATGTATCTAATATTAATTAATATACCAGCACATTTTTAACATCAAGAAAACATGTTGCTTTTCTGTCTAAATCAAGGTTTTCTACACAGAGTCCTATAATTAAATTTCAGAGAGCAATAATATGTTAGGAAATAGAATACAGTTTTTGTACATGTTCATGTAACATTAGTACTCTTTTAATCATACACAAGCCATCTGTTAAGTAGAAAAAAATCTGAACAAAGTTATTAGAATATATAGCCTAAATTTTTCAATGGCTTGAATTTAATTACTACATAATAAAAAAGGAAATAATTATATGCTGATCATTTCTGTTTTGTTAAATAGCATAGTTTCCATTATAAAAGACTTTTTCTATACACCACGGGCTAAATGTTAAGAAAATAAACACAAATAATTGTGCATTTGCATGTATATAATTTCCTATGTGATCTCATCATTACTGACATTTGATTCAAGACAATAAAATCTGTTTTAAACAACCAAGAAAAATGGAAAAACAAAACATCTCTGCTTTCAGTAAATCAATATATCAGAATCCAAATAATTCATCGGGTTTAAATTCAATTTTTAAAATGTCTTTCTTTTAAACTTATTTTGAAATCTTTGTTTTTCTTTTGCAGATTGGAAGTATTTGCAAGAATATTGAATACCATTTTAGTAAAATAATAACAGAAGAAAGCAAATAAATCTTATTCATATTGATTTTCTCTGTAAAACAAAAAGATAAGAGGCATTTGGGGGAAATGTCTCAATTTAGAGAAACAGAAATTCCTTCCTTTTGTTTAGAAAAATCTCAAAAAAAAAATGATAGCAGCAGAGGAAAACTGGTGAAATTAGACTGTGAAGGCAAACAGTCTAAGTTAAAATGGGGGAGGAGGGTCTTTTAAAATATTAACATTGCATGGTGTATACCATTGGTTTAAAATCCAACAACAGATTTCTAATTTGGTTCAGTTAATCCTTACTCCCCCACCACACACACACACTTTCTTTTTCTCAAGTTTTCATTTATTTCATTTGCCTAGTCAGTGTGATGAAAAATTAAGATGATGAAATGCAGATAATTCTATTCCATGAGAGACTATAATCTCTATAGCAAAGTATAGCAGGGTCCACAGTTCATATACTTAAAAAAAATCTGGGAAGCCTCTCAATACCATTACAATGAATTGTTTCCCCAGGCTTGCACGCTGGAGTGTGAAGGACAGCTGCCTTCTCTCAAAATCTGGGAAACCTGCAGGGATCTCCTGCAGGCGTCCAAGCAGGAGCTTCCTCAAGAGGGTACCAACTTGTTCAGAGAGAGCAGCAAACAGGATGAGGGCCACTTGCTCAGCAAGAAGTATGGGGGCTTCATGAAGAGGTATGGGGGCTTCATGAAGAAGATGGATGAGCTGTATTCCATGGAACCAGAAGAAGAGGCCAATGGAGGTGAGATCCTCGCCAAAAGGTATGGGGGCTTCATGAAGAAGGATGCAGAGGAGGGGGATGCCCTGGCCAACTCCTCAGATCTGCTGAAGGAGCTGCTGGGAGCAGACCATGAGAGAGAAAGCTACCACCAGGAGGGTGTTGACAATGATGACGATGTGAGCAAGAGATATGGGGGCTTCATGAGAGGCCTCAAGAGAAGCCCCCAACTGGAAGATGAAGCAAAAGAGCTCCAGAAGCGGTATGGGGGCTTCATGAGGAGGGTGGGCCGCCCGGAGTGGTGGATGGACTACCAGAAAAGGTATGGAGGCTTCCTGAAGCGATTTGCTGATTCTCTACCCTCTGATGAAGAAGGCGAAAGTTACTCCAAAGAAGTTCCCGAGATGGAAAAGAGATATGGAGGATTTATGCGATTTTAGCATCCTTTCCCATCAGTGACCCCAGACCCTGATAAACTTCCCTGTATCCCAAAGTGAGCAACTGCTTCACCAATCGTGTTTTACTGGCACGTGTTGCTTGCACTGTGTGGCTGACTTTATGATCTGGATGATTATATGGCCTGAAAGCTACCATTTCAGGCTCTATGTGCTTGTGAAAGTCTGTAAGCTCAGTATTAGTCTATTGCATCTAACTTCGTTTCATGCTTAAATATTTTTGTTACCTCATTTCTTATTTTGAAAAACACCAATAAATGCTTCCTTGTATAGAGATACAATAAACCCATTTTCCCAACTGCACAAGAGGTCTCTTTCCTCCAAGGCCCTCATTCCCATTTGGGTTTCTACAGTAAATCTTTTTTTTTTTTAACCTGTAGGCAAATAGACATATTTTAATTTATAAAATTCTTTTGCAAAGCTTATAGTGGCTATCACTAGGCCTAAAGTAATTCCTGATGGGCAGTATAACCTTAACAGAAAGGAATTTCTTAATTTAAAAATAATATCTGATACAGTGGAACCGCATTGCTAGCTATCTAGGGCCACATGTGGCCTATAGGCTGTAGGTTGGACATGCTCGAACAAGCCTTTTGGAAAATTTCTTCTTTTTTTCCACCACATTCAAAGACCCAATTCAAAAATGGGCATCTGAAATAAACAGACATTTCTCAGACAAAAAAGTAAAAGCAGCAAATAAACATATGAAACAATGTTCAACATCACCGGTCATTCCAGACATGCAGATGAAAATAACCCTGAGATTCCACCTCACCCCAGAAAGAGTGGCTGCTATCATGAAACCTTCAGTAAATCTTAGGTTCAGATATAATACAACCATTGCTCCTGCAAAATAATCACACTGGCTTCCTTCCCTTCTCGCTGTGACTGCAAAATGTTTTTAAATTTAATTCCTCATGAACAAAATTTTAGACAAACACATTGGAACAAAATAAGATGTGAAGACAATGTAGTTTTGTTTTCCACAAGAAGAAAATAAAGCCCACACAAGTGAGGTAGTTGACCCAAGATTTCTTACCATTTGAAAGATAGAGATAAGAGTAAACTCCCAAACTTCTTGTTCCCAGGCAATAACCTTTCCACTCCATTCCCTTATTATCTGTCCATGACACTAGCAAGAATTGAAACCATTGCATACCTTCACACTATCGTGCTACATCCTCTAATATCTGATGAATGAATGTATACATGGAAGAATGAGTGAATGAATGAATGAAGTGGAGAGGACAAAAGAATGGATTTGGCAACCAGGTAATCAGGAAAGGTATTGTGAGTCTTTTGTAAGGCAAATTCCCAAAACACAAGGGGCTTGTGACTTTCATATTACCGAAACTATTTGGGACAAGATTCAGATGAAAGAACTGAAACATTTATTTTTCTAATTAAAACTATATGCAGCTCAACCCCTATCTATTAGGTCAGTTTTCCAGGACTCCCACCCTTTTATTCTTCAAAAAACAGAGTTTAGCATTTCAGAAAAATGAAGATTGAGTCCCTTATCTACAGTCCACCAACATTGCCCACAAGATACTCATGTCCTGGCCTGTTGCTCCATTCCAGTTAGGCTCCATGGACTTGGGCAGTCCATCCCTCTAAGCCCAGCCCTGCCAGGGCTCTGGAGACATCCATACTAGTGACCTGATCACTGTAAGGGTTTGTGAACTTCTAGCCTCGTGGAGTGCTACTCCCATTCTTCTTGCTAATCACTAGTCAGCTAACTTTTTGCTCCAGGGAGAGCCCTGAGAGCCCTACTCCTTTGGATTAGAGATGCAAGCAAAGGAAGTGAAACAGGTCAGGAAGTGATAGGGCTGTGGCATGTTAGAGATATTAGCTGTCTATTCTTAGCCAACTGTTTCCCTTGAAAATACAGGCTCAGTGTTGTCAGACTTTTGCAAAGAAACTTGAAATGTAGTTTTTAAAATAATATCTCAAGCTTTTGTTTTAATTTTGGAAAGTGATTCAATTTAAAACTATGTGTGTCAGTCATTTTCAGATCAGATTTGAGAGATGTGGATACAAGTATTTTAAGAAAAAACAAGTCACTTAATTCTCCCTCCTGGAGCAAAGGATATCCAAACCTTGGAAACAAAATCTAGCATACACTATCCAGATAGTAAATATGTGCCTTCTTGACAAGATAATGGAATTACTATCTTACAATAACATGTGACATATACCTACATATCTTACATATTATGTTTGATAAAAAACAAAAGTTCACAGTCGAATATATTATCTTTTGAACCAATCACCGGTCTTTTTCCAGGAGCTTTTTCATTTGTATTCTGGGGCAGCCATGTAGACCAGGATAAAACACTCAAAATGGTAAACAGACAGCTGTCTGCTGACCCATTTAACCACCTATCACTTCTTTTTGTTTGTTTGGTTGGGGTTTTTTGGTACCAGGGATCCAATTTGGGTCCTTGCGCTTGCACAACAGGTGGTGAAACCACTGAGCTAAATCCCTGGCCCAACCACCTATCACTTCTGCTGAGTGCCACACGATGCTCAGGGAGAGACAGCACCACACTGCTTCCTCATCTGCCCCCCTTGCCTGGTGCAGAGTCAGGAAACTAGTGGATGTGCAAAATTGTTAAGGGAAGAGAGGAGATGATCAGGAAATGAGGAAGCTGAGACAGGACAATTGGATAAATGTCAGTTTTACACCTAAGTTGTGATAGGGCTGTGTGCCATGGTGGAACATCCCATGTCACAGGATCCCTGTCCCTCCGGGGTCCTTAACAGTAAGTATGGATGGTTGACCACAAAAGATGACTTGAAAGTGTTGTGTAAGCCCCCTTCTGTCTCGAAGCATCCCCCAAGCTATCTGGGCTTCAGTCTGAAATTCTACCACTAGCATTTTGGTTCTTTTAACTCCCAAAGGATATTTGATATTTCAGAGAATTTCCTATTTAAATTCTGAGAAGCATTTGGCTAAGATCATCTGGGGTGCTATTTTCAATGCAGAGAACTGGGCTCTGACTATAGGGCAACATGAGGACTAGGGTCAGGACTAACCTAGGACTAGGATCTAGGTTAAAAGAACCCAAAGTCCCTGATGGCTTACGGAGATCTGGGAGAAGGAATGAAGATCCACACTACCTGCAGAGGGCGCTGTGGCTCCATTCTGTACCTTTCCCCACTGCTTAGCCCCACTGCCGCTCAACCTTACACTTGGGGCCTCCTCAATCTCAGCTCCAAACCTGAGTCGTATCTGGGTTCCTTCTGAGCATCAATAGGGTATGAGTTCTGCAACCAGCTTGCCTGAATGGCAATCCCAGCCAGCTTGCCTTACCTGCTGTCTCTACCGTGTTAGGTTGTGAGAATAAGTGTCAAGTGTTCAAAATCTTATACCAAGACCAGCACCTAGTCTGACTTACAGGCTTAACTGCTACTATCACTCACCCTCCCAGTTCTTTGACTTGAATCTCAGGCTCTTCCTCCACTCACCCAACTTCACAATAGGCCTTTCAGGGATGAGAGGCTATATATATGGATCTGGACCATAGGGGTGGGACCTCCCAACAGGTAGGGGCTCCTTTCCTGATGACTGTGTCCCATGAAACAGAAACTACTTGCAGGGCCTCTTAATACTCATATTCATCTACAAACTGTAATCAATAGTTACCTGCAAGCCATTATACATCTATGCAAATCCACAGAAGGGACAACACCAACAGTGAACTTTTATATAAACTATGGACTTTGGATGATTATGATGTACCAATGTTTGTCAATTGTTTTTAAAAGATCATTATGGTGGAGGATGTTGACCATGAGAGAAGGCACTTTGGTTGGGGCAGTAAGGGAAATATCTGTGCCTTTGGCTCAACTTGGCTGTGAACTTAAAACTCTACTAAAAGAACAACAATTGTTTAAAAAATTATCCAAAAACAAAACAAAACAAAACAAAAAATGAGTCTCAGCCATAAGCTACAACGTTGTCATCTTAAGAGAAGATGGGGAAAGAATGTAAGGCTTTGAATACTTGTATTTATGAGGGTTTTTTCCCTTATTTTTCCTTAATTGTACATACTAGCCCCCATAAATGAATTCATTCATTCAACAGATGAATGAAGCCAGTTTCATAACTATCTGGTGGAAGTACGTACCCCACAAAGAGAAGCAGGGATGTAAGGCCCCAACATGGGAGGGGCAGCAAGGCTCCTGAGGTCTCATGAGGATTGAGAAAAAGGTTTTCAGTTTTATTCTAAGGGTGATAGAAAAGGACTGGAGACTGAGAGAAAGTGAGTGACATACTATGCTGACATGTTTAAATTTCACTCTCTGCCACATAGAATAAGTTTTCTCTCTCCCCATTCTCCTGAAGGAAGAATGTATTACATGTCTGTCATCATTTTGCATCCCTCAAAACATCTGGGTTTATCTAAAAAAGTTACCAAAACTTTCAGCATTTTATAATAAACATGCAATACGTTTTATTTATCAATTGCCACAGCCAAAATCAGAACTTACAATGCTCGCCTATTGCCTTAAGAATGAAAAAAGCAAACAAAACATATTTTCTCAACCTAGATGGTGGTTCACGGGTTTATATGGCTGGCATTGTGTCCCTATAGGGAGGGAGTGCAGAATCATATCTGTAGAGAGCTTGGCAATAGCTTAAACATGCACACCTTCAGTGGCCTCAGGATTTCCCACTAGGTACCACCACACCACCAGCTCCCAAAGTGCCACCCTGGGATCAAGCCTTCAACACATAGGATGCTGGGCTCTGCTTTCTCAAAACTTGCATTCTATGTGTAGAATGAGGCAATAAGTACTAAACAAATAAAGCACTTCCAGTCGTTCTAAATGCTATACTTGTTCTTCATAACATTTCTACTAACACAGATCTTAAAAGTGTTAAAAGTGAAATTCCTCCTTTACCTTCTCTGCCTTACACAGATATTATCCTTGTTAAGAGGTTGGCATTTAAATATTTTATTTCATTAAAATGAACATATTCCAATGCTTGGGCACACACTGTGTTAATGTCACTGTGACAAAACACCTGACATTATCAATCTATGAAGAGGAAAGGCTTATTTCAGCTCACAGTTTAAGAAGTTTCCACTCATGATCACTTGACCTTATTGTCTTTGGGACTGTGGTGTGGTGATACACTATGGTGGACAGCATGTGGGTGAAGAAGCTGCTCACCTTGTGAAGGCCAGGAAGCAAAAAGAAAGAAGAAAGGGCCTAGGCTTCAGAATCCCCTTCAAGGGCACACCCCAGTGGCACAGCTTCTTCCCACCAGACCCCACTTCTTCAAGCTTCCA